CCTCTGACGTATTTTTGTGATTTATGTAGCGCAGTTAATACTGATGGTAGTGATGATGATGATGCTGTGTAAATGTGGTGGTCTTGATGATGATGGTGGTGATTAAGATGGCGATGATGATGATGTTGTGTAAATGAGGTGGTCGTGATGATGATTAGGATGGTGCTGGTGATGATGATGTGTAATTGTGGCGGTCGTGACGATGATGATGATGAAATTATATAACAAACGAACACACAAACAAATGTGCAAACGAACGAGCTAACAAACAAATACAAACATTCAATCTCGAAATCAACCATCAAGGTGATAATAAATTAAGAGCTCACCTGAATTGTTAATATGTGTATGTGCCCATGTTGTGTGTTTGTTTGTTTGTTTGTGTGTGTGTTTGTTTGTGTGTGAGTGTATTTAAATGTATGAGTTGTTGAAAAATATCTCATTGACAATGTTTAACATCTGCTCTATAATTAATCAATAATTAACATTTATTAAAAAAAAGTTTATATATTTTGCATTACTTAATTCATTTCCTGAGGTTAATGATTCATAAGGATGATAATATTATTATTTTATTATTATGAATGTTTAATAGGCGCTTTTTCAATCCTCTCAAAAACGCCATTAACTAAAAGTATCATTTGCTCAGAGAAAATAAATAAGCTTTCAATTCTTTTCGAAACTTTCCAAGGGAGACACCCGGATCACGTAAGTACTGTGGCAGACTATTCCAGATTGTCGGTCCTACAATAGAAAAATTACGTGATCCAATCTTCAATTTAGCAAAAGGAACTTTTAACAAATCTGAACAATCTGAACGCAGCCCAAGTCGATGCATAGGAATATCCCTTTGAACAACTTTATCTTGAAGGTATTTGGGAGCCAGGCCATTTCTGCATTTATAAACCATCACAGCAATTCTGAAAACAATTCTTTTTTCAACAGTTAACCAATGCAATTCACTCAAAATTGGGGTCACATGTTCAAACTTTGATGCACCTGTTACAATCTTTGCTGCTCGATTTTGTATTGACTGCAGCTGACTAATCACATTATTTGCAGTGCCGTAGAGCAAAACATTACAGTAATCCAGCCTTGAATGTACGAATGCATGCACCAGACTTTGTAATATGTGTCTACTTAACGACTTCCGGAAAATTCTAAATCCACGCATATGATGATAGCATTCACTTGTAAGTGATTTAACATGGTCCTTCATCAATAGACTACTATCAAAAACTACTCCCAGATTGCTCACAGATGCACAAAAATCGATTGAATCACAACAAATATTAATTGATCCAATTTGTAATTTTGACAATTGCTGCCACGTTCCAACCTTCATAAGCTGAGTTTTACAGGTATTTAATTTAAGGCGATGCGTTTTCATCCAATGATATATATATATATATATATACATATTTTGGGTTTAGACTATCATAAATACAATTATTTATAAAGATTACTGCGTTTTCGGCATTATTCAACTTGTAGTTGAGTTTCTCAATTTTTCTAGCGAGACTTTTATCATCTTGATGAAGTTTATTAAGGTTAAATAAAAAACTTTTAATATTTGACATTTTTTGATAAAACATTATTAATAACGTTATTACTACAGAAAAGCTCTTTTCGACATCGACTGCCATCATCAGTGTAGTTATATAGTATTGTTCCGTCAAAGACCCTATATACTTATTGTGTATATATAACACATAATATAGGTTGATCTTTATAAATAATTGTATATATATATATATATATATATATAAAGCGAGAGAGAGAGAGAGAGAAATTTGTTTATTCCTCCGATACACATTATTATTTATCGATATTTGTTTGTATGTCTTTGTGGTTTTTGTATATGTGGGTGGGGTG